GTCTATTAGCATATTTAGCTACGTCTACTAGCATATTTAGCTACGTCTACTAGCATATTTAGCTATGTCTCCTAGCATATTTAGGTACGTCTATTAGCATATTTAGCTACGTCTACTAGCATATTTAGCTATGTCTCCTAGCTTATTTAGCCACTTCATTTACTCGATTCTTCTGACGTTGAAGCGATGAACAACCTGAAAAGCTCTGAGGTGCATCAGTATCTTCACAGTAATAAGGTCGGTGGAGTTTTGTTATAAGAGGTGGGACACAATCTTCATCCATCCATCCATTATCTTTACCCGTTTATTTCATTTTTGGGTCACAGGGGTCACTGGTGCCCATGTCCAGCAATCACTGTGCGAGGGGTGGGGTACACCCTGGACGGGTCGCAAGTCAGGACACAATCTTATTAACTTTAAATCAGACACAGAGCCCAGACAAAGCCTTAAAGTCCTCCATCACTGAGCTAATTACAGAGATAATCATAAACTGAAGATGAACAAATATTATAAAGCTGTTCCCTCCATACACTTGAAATCATCCCTGATATTCTTGTCTCAGTTTTCAATCCTTCTGAGGATCCGGTGTCTCTTCTCCGGTGATTTATTGTAGTCCAGACACAAAGTAGGATGCAGGTTTTCCTCCGTCGGCTGTTTGTCAACAAAGTGAAATGAGCTCACATACACAGCACATTTTGGGTGGTCTCTTCCAAGTTCACATTTTTCAGCCACATTCTTCTTAATTCATCATCTGTAGGTAGGAGATGGAAACTATACTTCTTTTTACAGAAACTCTTTTTGTTTTGGGTCCGTGTTCAAACTCTGTTGTTGTCACTGAATTAGTTTGGTCTGGTTGTTCTGCAGCCCTGAACACAACAGGTACCTGAACTCGGCACGGCTATTTTAGTAAACTCTATGGTTGTTAAATAAATGTGAACAAAACAAAAACAGAGTTTTATCTGCTCAACTGAATGTAAATTACTTTCAAATAAACCGTGGTTCGTGCTCCTCCACCATGATTAACCAATGGTTACTGCTACTTCCTGTCTCACAGGAAGTTGTACCTATAATCATTTATACAGCATGGCCTCCAGGAAGAAGGTGGATAAAACTAAAAAATATCAAATGATTTTTAACATTGATATTTTTATACTTTAGAAAAAGCAAGAGAGCACTTTGAGACACTCCTTCACCACCACTCAGCTGGATTACTGTAACACTTTGATCGGGGGGTCAGCACTTCCTCTGCTGCTCACCTCCAGAGGGTCCAAAATGCTGCAGCTCATCTTCTAACCGGCACAAAAAACCCGGAGCGCATTTCTTCTGTTTAAGCCTCGCTGCACTGGTTGCACGTTAGGATTCTTTTTAATGTTCTTTTATTTGTTTTTGTTCCTGCCCCGCCTCATCTCACCGAGCTGCTACCCCCCCTTTCCATTCTCCCAGGTCAGCAGACCAGCCAAAAACAAAACGAAAGCTTCGAGGGGATCGAGTTTCTCTGCTGCTGCTCTTAAAATGTGCGGCGACCAGACAGGCGTCCTCCGTCTGTTTTTAAATCACTTCTTAAAACTCTTCTCAGCTTTTGACTCCACCTGAGATGCTGATTTTTAGTCCAGTCTGAGTTTATTCTAATTTAATTTAAGTGATGGATCTATTTGTTTGTGTTTAATATAAGGCCTAGCTTTCAAATGTTTTTATGATTGTGACTGCTGTTGGTGTTGTTCAGCCAAAAGACCAGATTCATGTAAAGAAGGGAACAAAATAGTTTATACCATTACTATACAACTATACAGTGTGTGGAAATTTAGATGATCCTGCTTTGGATAAATTAAGCATAAAGTTAAATTTTGTTTTACTCCTTGTATTAGTTTTAGTATTTAAATGTTTGGAAAAGAGTCGGCAGGAAACATCAGGAGCAAGAAGGATGTTCTCAGACAAACCTGTGAATATTAACGTTTATGAATCGTAGTTGTGTAGGAGTTTAAATGAACCTTCGCCTCAGTTGTTATCTCTGAGGGGACTAACGCTGTTCGTCTCCGTCTTGGTGCAGAGCGGTGTCTGGAGGACCACGAGCTGGTGGTTCAGGTCCAAGCCTCCATGAGCAGCGACAGTAAATTCCTCTTCAGGAAGAACTATGCCAAATATGAATTCTTCAGGAACCCCCTGGTGAGTCTCTCGCATCCCTGAATTGACCTTTCCGTGACTGCTTCTGCTTAGCACGCAGCCCTGTGCACACACAGCTAAAGTCACGCTCGCATCCCACCAGCAGGAGCTCACAACTTTATTTATTAATAAATTAATTTTTAATAAATTTATATATATATATATATAAATAATATAAATTTATGTATTAATATTTTTTCATTTTTGGATTGAAGCTGAGGGGTAAAAACTGGATCTTACTGTTTAAAATGTGTTGGAAGATAAAGAGTCCAGCCTGACTGGAGCTGACGTGTGAAGCCATCTTTCACCCCCGCAGCCCTTTTAGCTGAGGCTGCAGTCATCGTGTTACCTGCTCATGCATGTTGATAAATCGATGAGAACATGCTGATGTTTGGCGCCGGGTTTCACCGTCTTTAGGTCACTGTGTCAGCGAACGATCAGCGCTGAACGTAGCTGCAGCTCCGGCTGCGCAGCTCGCTCGTCTCGGCTTCGGCTCCAGATTAAACTCTGAACAAAGCAACTATTTTACAGATTTGCTGAAGAAGCTCTGCTTTTAAATGTGTTTAAATGCAGCATCTGGTGCACAGTAATGCTGCTTTTGAATGAATTTAAAATAGCTTTTTAAGGAATTTGCATTTTATTTATATTTTCATGTACCTCTTTGTTCTTACAAGAAAAGGTAAAATAATGAAGTACTTGAAAACAGCTTGTTAGATGGAATAAACATAATAAATTATTAATTTTTTACCTTTTTATTTTAATTATTTATTTAAAATTAATCCTAAGGTTTATCTGAAATCTTCAAATTCATGCAACCTACAAAAAGTCTAGTTCGTTTTACTGCAGAATACAAAAGGAAAAGCAAATGGGTAGAAAAAGCTGATGACATTAAAAAAGACGAGCTCAAATTATTTAATATTTCAGAGTTTATGTCCATATTTATGAACATGGGGTGAACATCAGGAAGCTGTTTGTAGTTTTGCACAATAAACAAAAGTAAATTAAAATAAAAATTATTTCTGAATGCTCTTTATCTATAACTCGCCCATGAACTAATGTTTATTCTGTAAAAATGTCTATCAACTGGATATTTTAGTCATTTTGCAGCTGCTTTGTGTAAAAGTGAATAATAAATAACTTGTTACAGCTTAAAACAACTTTAATCTTTACACCGTTCTTGTGAGCAGTTTTATTTTACTTTAACCAACCTCATATTCTCAATAATTTTTGAGTCTTTACAACCGCATATAACCATTAGCTCAAGGGTGTCGAGACCTGGTCCTTGAGGAACACCATCCTGCATATTTTACATATTTCTTTGCAGCGACACACCTGATTCTATGGTTGAATTATGTATTATATGGAGTAGCCTGTTAATCACCCATTGATTCAGATCAGGTGTGTTGGAGCACGGAAACTTGCAGGATGGTGTTCCTCAAGGACCAGAACTGGACACCCCTGCATTAGATTATGAATATGCACTGAGTGGGCTCACTCAAAGAGATTTACTTCATCAGACAAGTCTAATCAGCATGGAGGACATGGAGGTAGTTGGAGTGAGGACAGAGGATGCAGAGGACAGACATGGAGGAGGATGACTTGCTGTGGAGACCCTGAAGAGGGAACAGCTGAAAGATGAAGAAGAAGAAGAAGAAAAGTCTAATCAGCAGGGATATTATGAAACTCCTGTAAGAAGTGACACCAGACTGCACAGGAAGTGTTACAGCTAACTGCTGCTGTCTCTGGGTGTGCTTGCAAATAACCATTGAACTCTGTGCAACAGTCAGAGTAATGAGAAGGTGATGTTGAGGTTTGTGTAAGGTCGAGATCGGAGCAACAGTCTGCCGTTAGCTCCTGCTAGCTGGCAGCTGTAAACTGTTTCTCAAAACTCAGGTTGTCAGTGTTATCTGCATCAGGTAATATATTCACTGTTTACAGTTCAGCTGGCGGCTCTGACAGAGTGCACAATGACATCACCGTGTATTGATTTAGGGGCGTGTCTAAACCAGCAGGTGACCTCAGCGCGCAGTAAAACACGAGGTGCTCGCCTGTCAATCACACTAAGAGTGGCACTGCTGGCTAAAGGGGATTACATCAGCGGATGAGATCATACTGCATCCACTCTGAGACTGGAGCGCCCTCACCCTCCCCACCACTTTGTCTTTGAAACCTTCTGCTCATCGCACACACATGCACGCGCACGTACGCGCACAGATGCACTTTGTAAAGAGAGATGCTTCCTCTCCCTTCGCTTGCACATGCACTAAGTGGTTTCAAGTGACTTGCTTCTTTCTTTGTCCTTTCCTCTCTCACCGCTGTCACTGCTGTTTCGTTTCCATCCAGAACTTTTTTCCAGAGCATATGGTGGCTTGGTGTCACGAGTCCGATGGTTCAATCCCTCAGGCACAGCTCTTACAGGTGAGATGACTGAAAGGTCACGCATTTGATTCATTCACACAGATGCCCTACGACTTGGCCGCAGAGTTCAATTACGTCACACTGTGTGTGTGTGTGCGAGCGCGTGTGTGTGCGTGCTTCACAATAAGCACATGTGAGAAAGTGTTATTTACACAAAGTCATAAAAGTAAAGAGGCTTGCCAACTTGCTATCTCAGTAAAAAGGCTTTTAAATAAAAATCAGTGTCAGCTGTTTGGTGATGTTCTTTTCTCGGGCACTCGGGTTAAACAATCAGGTGAAAACGTTGAGGATAAGATTAGATTATGTTACGTTTTAAAAAAGCGAAACGTACTGCTAAAGGTTTTGGCGACATGGTTCAGTTTAAGATCCTAACACATCTGGTTAATAAAGTGCATCTGTAGTTTTACTTCAAACTCTTTGCCCTCCAGCTGGCACCAGCTGTACATTATGATTTTTTAAAATCAGTAGTACTTGATGCTACAGTGTCCAGTGAACTGTAATGCTCTGAGCCCAGACAATAATAAACTTTGCACTCTGAAAACAAAACTAAGTAAACTTTCAACAAGGCCAACACAAAGGTTGAGTTCAGTTTTGTAAAGTGTGAGTCTAGCTCTGTGACTGGATAACTGAGTGGGTGCAGACATGTTAATCCCCCTTGGTATTCTCCACATTTCTTACCTTCTAACTTGGTATTTAATTCAATTTTTTTAAATAAAATCAACAATCCTACAAATATTGCTTTAGATTAATGACGATTAAATTAATTCACACCCTCCAAGTCCGTTCTTAGAGCCTCTTTCTGCAGCAGGTCTTCGAGCTTGACACATGGAGCCTCTGGAATATTTTGTCCATTACTCAGGATCAAGCTGCTCCTTTAGGTTGAGTAAAAAGTAGAGCCCGGTTCATGTGGAAATTTAGTCTATCGTTGATACTGATGTTGGGAGGGGAAGGCAACTGCCGATAACTGATATAATGGCTGAAAAGTTTTTATCTTTGTCCACCTCCAAGAATAAAAAAATTAAAAAAACAGCGAGTGGAGCGGGGCTTGTTTATTTAGCACAGCTGTTAGCAACCATGAAGCTAAGCTAATCAGAGCCACCTTTAATTAGTCACACGGTAAGTTTACAAGTGGTGCACTGATCATAAAAACTGTCTTCCTAACGTGCGTTCGCATTTCCTATCCTTCACTATTCACCATAAAGTTATCAAGTGTGTTACATAAATATCAATTAAAGAAAGAAACGTGTTCATTGTTTAAACAGTCACATATGGTGAACGTCTAATTAGTACTGACCGCAGCAGAGTTCATTTTATTTGTAGAGAAGTTTTCAGACAATGTGTTTAATTTAGGATGACAGATAATGTCACTAACACTGATATATTTTATGTTAGATTTATTGTTCTGGATAAAGTTTTACAAGACAATAGCTGATGCTAGGTTATCTAAATGTTAGCTTGCTAACTTCAGAGGCACGTAGCTAATGACAAGCAGGTTGGAGAATTGAATAGAATTTACTTTTGATTTTGTTTTATTTTACAGATCAGTTAAAATAAACTTATCAGGCTCTGTTCTGTAAAATATGCTACACAATATTGTTCTGTGATTCGTCCGTGCTGAAAGTGAAACTTAAAGTGAACGGTCATGACTGGAAAATAGTCTTCATGCGCCCTCTGCTGGATACATTGTACAATTACAGCTGGTTCCAGCATTTTAGGGGTGAAAATTAGAAGTGTTTATATCAGTGCATAATGGGACAACTATCACAGATAACGATATGTCCCCAACCACCTATATTGGCTCCTGCTGATATATCGGCCAGGCTCTGGTTTAAACACTTGTTGTGTCCAACAAGCTTCAAGTAAATCATAGATTCTCAGTTGGACTGAGTTTTAACCACCGGGGTGTTGCTGCAGCAGTGCGGTCCTTCTGGACGATGAACCTCCATCCAAATCTCAGATCTCTACAAGGTTTCCACCAAGTTCTCCATATGTTGCCTCGTCCATCTTAAAAAAACAAAAGTTAAAAACAAAACAACTGGACTTTATTTGAAATGAAACGAGTGTGGGATTCAAGTTATAAAGCTGTGGTGTTATGTAAGAATGTATAATGGAGATTGACACATGCAGATTGACCTCTCACTCTTCACATTAGAGGATCATTAGGGTCGTTGTTAGTCCCATCCCACACTCCTTGTTTCATTGAATTGAGAAAGCTCCTCGGATGAGAAGCGAAACGTTTTCACTTATAAAGTCCAGTTGTTTTGTTTGTAACTTTTTTTTTTTTTGATTTACCATGTCCTGGATGACTGAGAATCTTCACCAGCTCGTCCATCTTTCCTTCAACCCTGACCGGTGTCCCCATGAAAAACGTCCCCTCGTCCTGATGCTGCCACCACTGTGCCTGTGAAGGAAGTTTTCTCAGCATCATGAGACGTGATGGATTTGAGCCCAACAAGCTTTAAATTCATCACGGCACCTCATCTCACGTGTTGGACACAAAGTCCAAGCAGCCCGTCTTATGTCTTTCTGAGACCCTGTGTCTTCATGTGAGGACATTGATTTTTAAGAGAATTACTCATCATAGAAAGCTTTTGACCCCACTTTGCAAAGAAAAATATAAAATGCAAAAATAAAGCTACTGTCCTCGTATGAAGACATCTTTTTCTAAAACCACTTTCTGCACCATGACAGAGTGTAGCTATTTAACTCAGTAGGTCCTACTAACCCCATGTACCTTGGAGAAAGGGAAGATGCCCACCAAACAACAGCTCGGGTCTCAGGAATGTTTTTTCTGGTTACTGGTTCATGGGTGAGATCTTTGCACCCTGCTGTAAACAACTTTACATGACGGGCTTTTTGAAAGGTGCAACATCTTTGTAAAGAGCTCTCCATTCCTTTTTTACATGACTTTTATTGTTCACAAGTATTTAAAACTCGAATCATTGACTGTCTTGGCTGATCTTGGTTGTTTTTAATTGTTGGTGCTCGGTGGTGACGTGGATATTTAATACGTTTTATTTTAGAACTTTCTGAACTCCAGCAGCTGTCCTGAGATCCAGGGCTATCTTTATGTGAAGGAGCCTGGAAGAAAGTCCTGGAAGAAGCTGTACATGTTGCTGCGCCGCTCCGGCCTCTACTACTCTGCTAAAGGAACATCCAAGGTGACTAAAATATGTTCTGAAACAGATGTGGAGGAAACTTTTATCAGAAGTGTTTTTAACCTCGTTTAGGCTTCAGTCAGACAAGAAGTCACGTCGTCTCATTGTGTCTGAGTCCCCTGTCCCTGTGTCTCACTACTGAACAGGAACCCAGACACCTTCAGCTGCTCTCAGATCTGGAGGATAGTAACATCTTCACCGTCATCACAGGCAGAAGACTTCACAACGCTCCCACAGAACACCAGTTCTGCATCAAGGTAAAACCTGCAGCAGAACCTCACTTCAAAATGGACTAATTGTTCCTTTAATGCACATCGTAACTTATCTTTCATATGTTGGCTTCAACACAGACTCGTCAGGCTCATGGACAAGTTTTGAACATTTATCTTTTCTTAATGTTTGTTTGGAGAGACAGAGAATGTTGTGATTACTGTGTTTTTTGCAGTTTTTTGCATAATGTACATGCCCTGCAACTTAATCACCGAAACGACTTGTTTATGGATGTTTTCCCACAGTTATAAACCAATTTTTGTCTGAGATATGACCATTTTCATTCATGCTGACTGAAAATATTGAACACTACCATTTTCAGCTGCTAGATGGCACTCGAGTTGTATGGCATGTCATTGTATCACGTAACAAGTAAAAGTGGCTATTAATGACACAATCGGCTTGCCATAGCCTGCTTCCTTCGTCCAGCTCGCCTGCAGCAACTGTCAAATCCGCTTCATTTCACTGCACCGCCCCGACGAAATGAAGCTGATTTGACCATTAAAGTGAATTTATTAAGTCAAAGTTCAACTGAGACGCACCTTTACTATAAAGTCGAGTAAACAAATAATTGTTTTTAAGTGTTTGTTTTATTTAAACAATTGTTTTATTGTTTTGAAGCTCTCGACCTTGACCTCTCTAAGTGGCTGTAAGAATCTGTTGGACTCCTGGCAGGGACCAATGCAGACATGTTCCTGTTTTTAGTTTTCTACATTCACCTTACAATCTAGCTGTTTTTTGTTACTTTTCTTTCTTTTGGTTTTTTGCCATCCTATTTGTTAAAAAAAATAAAATTGTATGACTTTTTAACAACAAAGTCCATGCTCAATAATCCAGGTATACAATCCAACATTTTTCAGTCAGCTCATCTGGACGGTTTCTTTTTTGGTGCTGAAACGTTTCACCTTCGGTCCGGAAGGCTTCACCAGTCAAGTGTCAACTTCTTTCAGCTGGTTAAATCTTTAAAGAACAACTCACCAGGCGGCTGTGGCTGAGTGGTTAGAGCAGTCGTCCTCCAATGAAGAGTTGGGGGTTCAAATCCACCAGTAGTCACATGCTGAAGTGTCCCTGGGCAAGGCACTGAACCCCTCGTCGCCTCTGATGTGTGTCCCATCAGTGTATGAATGTGATCTAAAGCTCTGATTAGTCTCTTTAGAATGATTTGTTCAAGTAGCTTTGTATAGATCTAGTATAGAGCTGTATGAATGGGTAAATGAGGACACAGATTGTTGTAAAGAGCTTTGAGTATCTTGAAATAAGATAGAAAGGAAATATATATATATTTTTTCATTATTATTTTTTATAAATATTTTTCATTTTTTTGCCCTCATTTTTATTTTTATTATTTATTTGTTCATTTATTTATCCATCCGTCAGGCCGTCCGTCCAGAGGACCAGACTTTACTATGTGAGATTTTTCTACCTGGATTATTGCGCAGGCATCAGGATATTTAAAAAAAATTGAACAAAGTGCCAGTTTTGTTTGTTTGGCATCTTTTAAGGTCATAAATCCTTCAGGGTAAATAAATGTCCTCGGGCACAGGAACTGTGAAAACGTTGAGGTTTAAGAACGACTGCTCAAATAAGAAAGTCCGCCATGTTTTCCTAATAACAGCACAGTTTACAGACACAAAAACAAAGTGCTTTAAAATGATCACCTGTAGTTCTTGTTTTCTTAAAGAGGGAAACTAAGGTCAGCTGGAACGAATAAAGCAGCTAATAATTTGAACAAACGTGATTTAGGAGGAATCCTGCTTTTCCACTGCTGCTCTTGGTGCGTTAGCCTGATTGTGTGTGTCATGAGCTGAACCTCCTTGTGTGTCCACTGTTTGGTCGACAGCCCAGTAAAGCGAGGAGCGACTGTAAGGAGCTCAAGATGCTGTGTGCAGAGGACGAGCAGAGCAGAACCTGCTGGATGACTGCCTTCAGACTGCTCAAAGTAAAGTTGCATTGGAAGCTGGACAGTTCAGACAGTTTTTGCTAACTGGCATTAGTGAAGCAGCGCGTGGAGCCTTGACTTAACGACGCCTGCTCTCGTCTCTCCTCAGTTTGGGCTGGTGCTGTATCAGAACTACAACGTGCCCCAACAGAGAAAGTCCAGCAGCTCAACTTTCTCTGCGCCTGTGGTGAGGACCTTATTCAACTCTGTACACATCGTAGAGTAGTGGCTGTCACGACTCTTAAATCAATAAGTCCTACATGAAGGTAGCCAAATCTACCCTACGTTCCAGCAGTATAATATTAATAAAAAATCATTTGGGACATACTTTTATAATCATCTTTTTTAACGTTCTACCATTCTGTTTAAACGATCTATTAACAAACAACGGCCACCAGCATCCTTCAGCTAACAAACTTTTAAAAAAGTGTTTCATACTCACTTCTATCCACATTAGTCATTTCCTGACTATTGAGTGCGCCTGACTACAAGCCACGCCCACTAACTTTAAAGATAAATACAATTTGTACATATATAGGCCACACTTGTGTATAATAATAATAATAATAATAATAATGAATTTAATTTGTAACACACGTTTCATTAACAAAAATCTCAAAGTGCTACAAAGTGCAACTAAAATAAAAAAAATCAACTACAATCAGTGATAAAATCATGTGGAGGCAGAATAGGCTTGCTTGAAAGACTTTTTTAAAGTCGATCAATGATATAAGCCGCAGGTGTCCACGATGCAACTTGAGATATTTACACAGAAAGATTTTTAAACTTTTAAATACGTACCAGAAACACAAACATGTACAGTAAATGTTTTCTTCTGAGCCGTGCCTGTAACACAGCTGGTTAAAAAATACTGTACCCTACCAGGACGTCATTGATCACTACAGCTTGTGCTGTCCTTACTTATTTCGAGTGGCTGCAAATACTTCCTTTTGCCCCCAGGGAGGGGGCACAACAGGGAGGGGAGAACGGGGACCTGTGACCTGTTTGATAATTTCATAGGTCAGATTTTTTTTCACCTTTTATTCATACAGGTAGTCTCATGAAGTCATGAGGACCCCTCCCCCCCAATAGAGACGTGTATTGGGCAGCTATAGGCTAAATGTTCTGGTGGCAGGAAACTCGTTAGTGCATTAAAATAAAATAAAAATCCATAAATTAGCTGCAGCATTGTATAAACCGCGGTGCTCAAAGCGTGTGAAAAAAGTAGTGGCTTATAGTCCAGAAATTACGGTAGTTTATTGCGGTAGTTTTATTACGTTAGTTTATTAAGACACGTGGAAATCCATCGCTGTGGTGCTCTGTTCAGGATGATCGGACGTTTGTACTAAATAAAGAGATTATTTCAAATGATGCAGCCTGACCAGTTCATCTCTAATCCAGCCTGTACCTGTAGCAGCAGATTAGTAGCGTTGACCTCCTGGTCGGCAGAGTCGAGTTCTGTCAGGTTCTTTTGAGCAGGAGAGAGTTAATGGAGGGGGCAGGTGTTAGGAACGATACCTCTCCACTTACAGGAGATAACGTAAGAAGAACATTTTCATGGACGGCCGGTTCCAAAAGGTGAGATTATTAGTCCTGTTGGCATCGTTCACAGAGGGACCAACAGGTCAGGTGTCTGTGGGAGCCCGGCTTTAGTTTCATGAGCTTGATGTAGAGTCCAACGTACTTCCATGATTTAATGAACGTTAATACGACTCTAATGGGAGTGGTGGTGCAGAGGATAGAGAAGGTGGGCCTGTGATTGGAAGGTCGCTGGTTCAACTCCCCGGACAGACGATGTTGGATAAATAAGCACCGTGCAACGAAACAGTACCAACACGTACACACAGTTCGGTTTATTCACCATGGAGACGTGGGTCGTTTGGTTTGGGGCGTTCCAAAATACCAGAAGAGCAGAGAATCAAAGATTTAGAAGAAAGTGGATGAATAATGTATTAGGTGTTTTAGGGCAGCTAGATTTTCCTTTTGTGCTAAAGATTTGTGGTAAAACCAAAGTTCATCCCGCAGCCAGCGTCATCTTATCCCTGAGCCACTTCTTATAAATCTGACACACATGTACACATGTTCATAATGCCCTCACACCCAGACGAGCTGGGCAAAGGTTTTCTAAGCTCCTTATGAAAGATTGTGAAGTAAATTAAGTCAAGTCTAACAGTCTATGCAAACTTTGTACTTAAGCTCCAGATTTGGACAGGATTACGATACAACAAGCTCTAATTTCTAAATCGCTGACAGTAAATGAGACCTGCAACTTCAGTCGTGTTCAGTGTCGCATCAAGTATTTACCCTTTCAAGCCATTCGGAGCTTTTCAGGAGCTTTATGACGAGTTCTAACACTGAAATGTCCGAGTGCAACTGATGCAGCAATCAGTGTGGTCCCAGAAGAAGTTTAAACTCCTGTTGTGATATTTAAAGAAACCGAAGGGCCGCATGGAGACCTGGAAAATTAATCCAGTGAACGTTTAAGAAGCATTCACTCTATTGTGATCTATTTTTCTTCCGTACGTTCTTCAGGGCGATTCTCGTCCTGCAGTTTTTAAACTATTTCAACAAACTTTTCTGACAGTTTTTCCTCCTAGAAAATGAAGTGAACTCATTTTACATCCTTCAAATAATCTTTAGATCTGTTTACAACCTTTTACTGCTCCTTTCATGATTTGTTCTGCTTTAGCTCCTTTCAGCTTCCTTGTGCAAATTTAAACTTTTTTCAGCTACTTTTAGCTGTTTTTAGCTGGTTTGTGATCTTTTCAGATTAGATCTGCTAACTAAAACATTTTTGTGCTTATTCTACCTTCTTTATGCTCCTTTCAGTTTATTATGCAAGTGTCAGCTTTTTCTACTATTTTAGCTACATATTGCTGTTTTTATGCTAATTTAAGCTTTGTCAGCTAATTCCACATTTTTTGCTCTCATTTAAACTTTTTTCAGCCTAATTCAGCGAAAAATGTGCTCTCTCTACTTCCTTCTGGTAACTTAAGCTTCTTTCTGCCTTTTTAGCTACTTTTCAGCTGTTTTTTGCTAATTTGATCTTATTTCAGGTAATTTCAACTTTTTGCGCTCATTTCTGCTTCTTTCAGTCGAATTAGGCGAACATGGGCATCACGACAGCTCAGTGGTTAGCACTGTTGCCTCACAGCAAGGGTTCAATCCCCACTTGGACCTGTGGTCTTTCTGGGTGGAGTTTGCATGTTCTTCTCGTGCTTGCGTGGGTTTTCTCCAGGTACTCTCGTTTCCTCCCACAGATCAAAAACATGCATGTTAGTCTGCCTTCAGGTTCAGGCCTCCCTTGCAAAATAGATCTGTGATCTCAATGGGATTTGCCTGGTTAAGTAAAGATTAATAAAGTTATAAATGATGTGTAATGATTAGAAAGGGCAAAGGAATTTTAGATAATCTGCAAAATATTCCTGAATAAAGGACATCAGTTTAAAAAATCTAAAGTGTGAACTAAAGTTAAATTTAAACGTCGTTCTCCACCTGAAAGGAAACTGGTTCGAAGCTTCGAAGCCAGAAAACTCAGAGGCTCGTGCTTCTCAGAGAAGCATTCGTGGACTTAACTGGGTCTGTGTGCAGACAGGATTTGTCACGCTCCAGTGACTGCGTCTGGCTTGTTTGACCTCTGACCTGTGTCTCCCCCCCAACCCACTCCCAATCACTACCACTCCATCTCCCCCTCTCCCCCTCCTACATAACAGCGGAGCGTGTCCGAGAACTCCCTGGTTGCCATGGACTTCTCAGGACGGACGGGCCGCGTCATCGACAACCCCGTGGAGGCTCAGAGCGCCGCCCTGGAGGAGGGACAGACCTGGAGGGTGAGTGAGTTTAAGGCGTAGAACATTTTTTTCATTTCATGCTTTGGTTCCTTATCTGTTGGTTCTCAAATGGTCTCAGTTTCTGCTTTAGTTTGTCTTGATGGATGAGTTATACATTTATAATTCTTGGTGTTATCCAATTTCTTAAGTTACTCTGATGTCTGTAGATGTTTTCAAGACTCCACACATCACAACTCCAAGGTTCACACTGCAGGCACATGCGTCCCAAATTCCATTTACTGTAAGTTCCGAACACTTGAGCGCACCTGAATATAAGCTGCGCCCACTAAATTAAAAATAATAAAAAATTGTACATATCTAGGCCACGCTTGTCTATAAGCTGCAGGTGTCCATGTTGTAACATGAGTCATTTATACAGAACTATTTTTCAAAACTTTTAATTAAATATGTACCAGTAACATACACAAATACATACAGTAACTGTTTTTTTTTCTGAACCGTGAAAGTGAAATAAAAGAATGAAGAAGGGGAAGGCAGTAGGACCTGATGACATACCAGTGGAAGTTTGGAAATGTCTTGGAGAGATGGCAGTGAGGTTTTTGACTCAAATATTCAATGGCGTATTTGAGGGTGAGAAAACACCTGAGGAATGGAGAAGAAGTGTGCTGGTGCCCATTTTTAAGAACAAGGGTGATGTACAGAGTTGTAGCAACTACAGGGGAATTAAGTTGATGAGTCACACAATGAAGATCTGGGAGAGAGTTGTGGAAGCAAGACTTAGACGAGAGGTGACTATCTGTGAGCAGCAGTATGGTTTCATGCCAAGAAAGAGCACCACAGAAGCCATCTTTGCTTTGAAGATGCTGATGGAGAAGTACAGAGAGGGTCAGAAAGAACTCCATTGTGTCTTTGTGGATTTAGAAAAAGCATATGACAGAGTGCTGAGAGAGGAGGTGTGGTGTTACATGAGGAAATCTGGAGTGGCAGAAAAGTATGTTGTATGACTAGTAAAGGACATGTTAGACTGGTACAGGACATGTATGAGGACAGCAGGACAATGGCGAGATGTGCTATAGGAGTGACAGATAGCTTCAAGATGGAGGTAGGAGTGCATCAAGGATCGGCTCTGAGCCCCTTCTTGTTTGCTCTGGTGATGGACCGACTAACAGATGAGGTCAGGCAAAAATCCCCGTGGACTATGATGTTTGCAGATGACATTGTAATCTGTGGTGAGAACAGGGAACAGGTGGAAGAGAACTTGGTGAGGTGGAGGTATGCACTTGAAGGAAGAGGAATGAAAGTCAACTGTAGTAAGACAGAGTACATGTGTGTGAATGAGAGGGAGGAAGTGGAACAGTGAGGCTACAAGGAGCAGAGGTCACAAAGGTGCAGGACTTCAAGTACTTGGGATCCACTGTCCAGGAAAATGGGGAGTGTGGTAAAGAGGTGAAGAAGAGTCCAGGCATGATGGAGTGTATGGAGAAAAGTTTCAGGAGTGATTTGTGATAAAAGGATGTCAGCAAAGGTCAAAGGAAAAGTTTACAAGACCGTGGTGAGACCAGCTCTGTTGTCTGGTCTGGAGACAGAGACATGGACAAAAAGACAGGAGACAGAACTGGAAGTGGCAGAAATGGACTGTAAATGGACGACTTTTCTATCTTATCAAAATATTGAAAGCGCTTTACACAACAATCTGTGTCCCCCTCATTTACCCATTCATGCAGCACTTTGCTATATCTCTACAAAGACTAACCAGAGCTTTATCACATTCATATACCAATGGGACACACATCTGAGGCAATGAGAGGTTCAGTGTCTTGCCCAGGGACACTTCAACATGTGACTGCTTGTGGAATCGAACCCCCAACTCTTGCATTGGAGGACGACTGCTCTAACCACTCAGCCACAGCCGTCCCAAAATGAAGATGTTGAGGTTCTCCTTAGGAGTGACAAAGATGGATAAGATTAGGAATGAGATCATCAGAGGTACAGCACAGGTTGAACTACTGGGAGATAAAGTTAGAGAGACCAGATTGAGATGGTTTGAACATGTCCAGAGGAGGGACAGTGGTTTGAACATGTCCAGAGGAGGGACAGTGGTTTGGACATGTCCAGAGGAGGGACAGTGGGCATACTGGTAGAACGATGTTAGAAATGCAGCTGCCAGGAAAAAGACAAAGAGGAGATATATGGATGCAGTTAGAGAGGACATGGAGGTAGATGGAGTGAGGACAGAGGATGCAGAGGACAGAGTGAGATGGAAGAGGATGACTCGCTGTGGAGACCCTGAGGAAGGAAAAGCCAAAAGAAGTGCCGTTAACAAGGCTGGTTAAAAAAATAAAATACAGAACCAGGAAATCCTACCAGAAAGTCACTGATCACTATCTTCACCTTCCTCCTGCTCAAGCTTGTGCTGTCCTACAGACTTGAGCCAAAGTTGCTTTATGCATGCAAGGAGTGGAAGTGGTGGCGCAGAGGTTAGAGAAGGTGGGCCTGTGATTGGAAGATCGCCGGTTCAAGCACCGGTACCGACAACATCAAAAAATGTGGGTGGGGTAGGTGAAGCACCTACACCTGCCCCCACCCTCATTAACTCCACTCTGGGACCATGAGCAAGGTCCTTCACACCCATCTGCTCCTAAACAGGTCTTTCTTGGAAATGAATTCTCATGGCTCAATGAGACTACATAAATAAAGGGTAAATGGAAAAAAAAAAAAAAGGGGGGTCCCCCCTCACATGCTCTGCGCTCTGCTCTCACAAGGAAGGGGGATCCCCCCCCCCTCCCCTGTTCTTTCCTCCCCTCCCTGTTTCATTGGTCCACTGTGACCTGTTCAATTATTTCACTAGTCAGTTTTTTTACCTTTTATTTATACAGGTAGTCTCACTGGGTCATGAGGACCCACCCCCCCAAGAGAGATGTGTATTGGGCAGCCATGTGATGAAGCTAAATGCTTAGGCAGCATGAAGCTTGTTAGCTCAAAAAAAATCTGTAAATTAGCCATAGCATTGCATAAGCATGTTCAAAGCCTGTGAAAAAAGTAGAGGCGTATAATCCTGAAATTACAGTATTTATTTATTTCCTCTATGTGACCCATGGAGCATTTTTTCCATGACGGTCTGAATGTGACAAATCCGACTTAAATTTTTTATTTTTTTATTCAGCATGAGGGAAGAAGCCCCTTTAGCTTTTTATCTAGAGCGCCTGTGTTGCACGCCGCTAGCTTAGTGGGACACGTTTGAGCTGTGCACTGTTTGTACAGACAGTTTTTGAGTGTGTGTGTGGGGGTGTTCAGCATGAGCGAAGAGGCAACGTGAGTGCTACCTTTAGCTTTTTAGCTAGAGCGCCTGTATTGTGCACCGCTAGCTTAGCGCTATGTCAATGTCAGGGGGCTGGGTGTTCGGTTTGGTAGGCGGGGTGCTCAGTCCTGTTGACGGGGTGGAGCACCCCACTTGTATAATGGTAGGGGAAACACGTGAGTTTTGATCGCACAACAACTTCAGAATCGTAGCATCCGTGTTCACTTCCGTCAACACAGCGTGCTGCATGTGACGTCACAGAGGAGGTGGCATCTCGATGATGACGTGAACGAGCAGACCTGAGTGTTGTGACCTGCAGTGTCCAAACTCCAGCATTAGGAGCCACTGTGAGACTATCAGAACCTCATTTCTCTTTGAAGTTGAATGTTTTCTATAAAACTAATGATTTAAGAAAAGTAAAACAACAAAAAGCTGTGGCAAATGAGGGATTCCCACTTCTGATATTCATTCATGTTAAAATGTGATAAAAAAATAAAATCCAAGCCATCCTAAAACAAGTCGTAGATTAAGTTATTTCTAGTTTTGAGTTGGTGATTCCAGACTATTAAATTGGGGGAGTGGTGGCGCAGAGGTTAGACAAGGTGGGTCTGTGATTGGATGGTTGCTGGTTCAGCTCCCCAGACCAACAACATCAAAATAAGGTTGGGCAAGGTGAAGCACCCACACCTGCCTCCACCATCATTCGTCCCACTCTGGACCCTTGAGCAAGGCCCTTAACCCCCACCATCTGCTCCCCTGGGTGCCCTACATGGCAGCTCTCTGCGCCTTACACAGGCTGTGGTAGCTCGGTGGTCTGTGGTTGTGTCGGGAAGAGCATCCGGCGTAAAAACAATCGCCAAGTCTTTGTAGGCCTGTCACGATAACAAATTTTGCTGGGCGATTAATTGTCTCAGAAATTATTGCAATAAACGATAATATTAAAAAATGTTCAATACAAAACAACTGGGCTTTATTTATAACAGAAGACGTTTCGCTTCTCATCCGAGGAGCTTTCTCAATTCTTCAATTTTTGAATTTATCATGTCCTGGATGACTGAGAATCTTCACCAGCAAACAATAATATTGTTTGAAATTTGACAAAAATTTGTAATTGTTGTCAAATTTAAGAAAATATGTTGTTAATTTTATTTTGAGTCTAGTACCTTTTTCAACCACTGGATGGCAGTATAAAGATTGTTTGAACCGAAGGATGAATAGTGAGGGAGCGAGCAGCGTCTCTTTACGAAAAATGGGAGGGAGGCCCCTTGACGTGACATGAGCTGTCTCTTCTTTTTTTCCGGTTCTCAAAATGGCGGCCGCTCGGTGATTTGAGCTCTTTAGCATAGCATTTTTCACACAAAGCTTTTAATAAAAAACAATAAACAAGTTCTCAGCTTCTTCTTGCAGAGAAAAACAACTTTTTACATGAAGGCACGGGTTTCAACTGTGAATTTTGGAGCTTCGACAAGATGGAGGTTTTTCCCAAGGTCGGACTGTTAGCTTAGCTCGTTGCTTAGCTTCTCAGCTTAGCTGCTTTTAATGATCCAAAAACGCAATTTTAGATGGTTAAAATGGATTTTAAAGAGAAAAAAGAAAGGGAGGGGTCAGTGAAGAACACTGGAGTTGAGACTTTTGTCATCCAGTGTCTTCAGTAGAAAGAGAGAGACTTGAAGAAATGATAAAGCCGATAAATGAAAATGAGGTAGATAATTTTCGTCATGTGATTATTTGATTTATTGTTTATCGTGACAGGCCTAAGTCTTCGTGTGATTTAATTCGCTGTGGCAACCCCTGAAGAAAAGAGCAGCTGAAAAGAAAAATGATTCCTGACCATTAAATATATTTTGTAGGGAAATGGCTCTTAAATCTTTAAGGGGGATGAAGATTAAAGTACTTCCTGTTCTGCCTGGCTACATATGATTTTACTTACCTGGGTTGTACCTCATTTCTGCGCACCGTATTACCATATTTATTTTTATTTGTTGGAAATGGCATATTATGTTATGCCCAAAGACCTCTCATTGTTGCTCCTTTCAGCTTTTTTCTGCTCATTTTAGCTGTTTTGTGCTCTGTTAAGCATACTTTCTCTGATTTCAGCATTTTTTGGGCTTTTTTCTGCAAATTCCAACTTTTTACACTCCAGCTTTTTTGTTGTAGCTAATTTAAGCATACTTTGGTACTTGTAGCTTCTTAAAAAAACTGGTCATGACCCACATCAAAACAACCATCAACATCAACGAGGACCCTCATCAGTATGCATACCATGAGAACCGATCAACAGAGGATGCCATCTCCTCTGTTGATCGGTTCTCATGGTATGCATACTGATGAGGGTC